CTAAGAGATGGAGACAACACGAATTGAACTGGATATATAAAAATACACACAGAACAGATGGGAGGCAGTCTTAGAGGGGAGGGCATTAGCAGCTGGAAAGTCTGGGAAGGTTGGATCTGAGTTGAGACTTTGAAGGAGGCCAGGGAAGTGAAGAGGCAGAGGTGGTGTTGCCTGGTGGGTAGAGTGGCTGGAATCATGGGGGAGGGGCTGGACTTAATGACTTCTAAGGTGCCTTCCCAGGTTTAAATCTATAGTCCTGTGGTCCATGAGAGCATTTCAGGTGTGAGAGACAGCTAATGCAAAGGCACAGAGATGGGGAAGAGAGGGTAAAGTACCAGGACAAACAAGTAAATCGGTGTTTCTGGATCATGCGGTGTGTAGGAGCGAGGAGAGTCTAAGAAGACTGGAGAGGTAGGAAGGGGCCAGGTTACGAAGAGCTTTAAGTGCTAAACAGAGGACTTATGGGGCATCCAGGCAGCTCAGTGGTTAGAGTGCCAGACCTAGAGTCAGAGTCAGAGGATCTGTCAAATCTGGCCTCAGGCACTTACCAGCTGTGTGACCCTGGGCAAGTCACTTAACTCCATTAGTTTCCTCATCTGTAAAATGAGCTGGAGAAGGAAATGGCAAACCACTCCAGGATCTTTGTCAAGAACATCCCAAATGAGGTCCGAAAGAGTCGGACATGACCTGAAAACAGCTGAACAACAACTTCTTGACTTTAGACTCAGGACTGTTCTTGTGGCTTTCCAGATGGGCTAGCAAAAAGTAATTTCCACTGAAGTACAGGCCAATTTTTTTTATGGGGTCATAGTTTGGCTATTATTAATTTTTTTTTGATGAGGCAGTTGGGGTTAAATGACTTGCCCAGGGTCACACAGCTACTAAGTGTCTGAGGCCAGATTTGAACTCAGGTCCTCCTGACTCTAGGGCTGGTGCTCTATCCACTGCACCACCTAGCTGCCCCAGGATCATAGATTTAGAGGATGGACATTAAGGCCCCCATTTTACAGATGGGAAAATTGAGCCACAGGGCTGTTATATGACTTGCCCAGAGTCACACAGCTGGCAGATGTCTGAGGCAGGATTTGAACTCTGGTTTTCCTAGTTCCAGGTCCAGCATGCTATCTGTCCTGCCACCTAGCTGCCTCAGTGTCTCCTGCCCAAGGGAGCCTTTCAGTTGCTTTGCCAGAAACGACTTTTTATGCAAGCACGCACAGTAAGGAGCTGGCTCCTTTATCTGGCAAAAGGGCTCTCCCTTCAATATGTATGAAGTTAGGGTGTGAGAAATGATAACAGCTTGGTCTGAAGCTGGGTGATGCGGCTTGTTTCCCTCTCAGGAGCCAATCACAGAAATCCTGCTTCTATCTCTAAATGACCACAGACCGGTTCGAGTCCATCTTAGCTGGGCATTGCTCCGTGACTGGCTTTCTTGAAAATTGAATTCCCTTTGAGGAAGGGTGAAATGGTCACCTGAGCATTCTCAGTAAATTGGATGGATTGCCCAGAGAGGGGACTTGCTTGAAAGAGGGCTGGAAAATGCCTTGAAAAAAAGTCCCTTTAAAAGATGGAAAGTAAATACTCTCAGCCTAGTTTTAGGAGTGTGTCAAGATGGGGGAAAGCCCACATTGACTAAGATGGCAGGCCCAGTTTTCTGGCATGGAGGACAAAGTTTCAGTTTACTTCCAGGTATGACTGTCCACTAGTTTCTATGACTTTCCCAATCTCGCCCCCCACCCCAACTCCTTTGGAATCATGATTAGGATATCTCAACAGTTAACGAATGATAACTGACACATGGTGCATTGAGGATTGCAAAACCTTTTACATATATTCAGCCAATCAATCCACAGATATTTGTCAAATGCCTACTAAGTGCCAGCACTGAGTTAAGTGCAGAGGGTAGAAGTTCAAAGAATGAAATAATTATTACTCCCAAGGACTTACATTCTAGTTGGGGGGGGGATACATACATGATCTTATTTGATCCTCACAACCTCCTTGGAAGCCGAGGTACTGTTATCAATCTCATTTTTGAATGAGGAGTGAGACTCAGAGAGGTAATACATACATACATATATATATATATATGTGTGTGTGTGTGTGTGTGTGTGTGTGTGTGTGTGTGTATTACATAGTACATATATACTTACATGTATACATATAATAATTATGCACACATATGTGACTTGCCCAGGGTCATACAGCTAGTAAGTGTCTGCTATAGGAGCCAGACTCATTCTCTCCTGAGTTCAGCACATTTCCCATGATTCCATGCTTAATCAAGGCACATCAAACTGTAGAAAAAAGCTCTCTCTGTCTTTGTATATGAGTACATTTATATCACATGCACATGTGTATTTATATGTACATATACAAATACACATACGGATATATATATATACACACACGCATACATAGGCTACGTATCTAGAGATGTCCTCATAGGATAACCCAGTTGATAAACTCATTGGGGGAATGCTTTTATCTTCCTCACATGGACAACATTGTCTACCAAAAGATGTCAGCGGTGTGTGTGTGTGTGTGTGTGTGTGTGTGTGTGTGTGTGTGTTGGTCCTACAAGTCTGGTATCATTTGTTCCCCCAAAGGACCACTGATTTAGTTGGGTCAGATTGGGATCAATCCTCTGGGACAATCGGGAAACTGATCTTACCTACAGGAGGACTCTTAAACCTTGGCTAAGTTATTTATCCCTCTGAACCTCAGTTTCCTTATTTGCAAAACAGGAGTTTGAACTAGATGAATTGCAGACTTTGAGAGTTAAAAAGGACCTCATTGACCATCTAGTCTAACCCATATGTTAAAGAAATCCCCACTATAACACACCTGACAAGTGGTCACTCAGCTTGAAGACCTGTGAGGAGGAAGAACCCACCATCTCTGAGGCACCCGAATCCACCTAATTTTTTGGTAACTTTGTCCTAATACCAGGCCAGAGTTAGCCTACCTGAAGATGGCTGCCCTGTCCCCCAACTCTTCCCCTCCCCAGGCTAAACGCTGCCAGCTCTTTCAATTTCCATTTGACGGGGACTCAAAGCCCTTCACCATCCTGCCTGCCCTCCTCTGGATGCTCTCCATTTTATCAATGTCCTTCTCAAATTATAACATTCAAGATTGACCATAATCCTCCAGGAGAGCAGTGGGATGATCACCTCCCAGTTCCTGAAAGTTATGCTCCCCTTGGTACAACCTAAGATTGCCTTCACTGTTTTTGGTTGTCATATCATACTGCTCATTCTTAGTGAGTTGCGTGTAGTTCTCTAAATACTAATGTTTTTTCAGGCAAATTAGTCTAGCCAGACTTCTCCCATTTGTACTCGTAAAGATGATTGTTTGGTACCCAAGTCTGAGACTTCACCTTTTTTCCTATTTAGTTTCATCTCAATTGATTCAGCCCAATTCCTTAGCTTGTCAAGGTCCTTTTAGATTCCAGCTCTTATCAGCTAGCATTTTCGTAAGCCCTCCCAGCTTTGGGCATCTGCAAATTTGATGGATAAGTCTTTTTTAGCCAAATTATTGATAAAAGTGCTTAACAGCACAGGGCCAAGCGGGGACAGATCACTGGGGTACTTCACTGTAGGCATCCTGCTGTGTTGATAGTGAACCATTAGCAACCAGTCCACATCTGGACATCCAGCTGGTTCTGAATCTATCTAATTGAATTATCATCTGGTCCGTATTTCTCCAGGGCTTTCCCTGCTCTGCTCTGGGTACTGATCTCTGGGCTTCCTTTAAGGCCCAACTAACCCCTTCCCCACCTTCCACAGGAAACCTTTCCCAACCCTCTTAATTCCAGGGTCTCCCCCGGTCAGTTGCTTCCTATTTATCCCATATAAAGCTTCCTTTGCATCCATTTGTCTGCATGTGGTCTCTCCTTAGATGGTAAGCTCCTTGAGGGCAGAGCTTGTCTTTTGCCTCTTTTTGCATCTCCAGGGCTTAGCACAGTGCCTGGCACGTGGCAGGCTCTTAATAAATGTCTATTGATTGATTGACTGGCTGACAGTAAGCCCCTTCCTTGAGGTAATAATGCCAGTTCATATTTCTGTGACATCTGATGGGTTTCTAGTCATTTCACATGCATCATCTTCTTGTATCTCCGGGGAAGGAGGTTTAGTATGCCTGTTTTATAGAAGAGAGAGACCGCGCAGCAGAATGGACACCAGCGAGACCTGAGTCTGAGTCCTGAATCTTGAACACGCTGATTTTGTAGCCCTGGGAGGAAGCTTCTTTGTAATCTCTTGAGTCATCGTAGATAGCGTTTATGTAGCGCTTACTGTGTGCTGGGCACTGAGCCAAGCTCTCAACCATTACCATCTCATTTGATTCTCACAACAGCTCAGGGAGGGAGGTGCTATCTGTTGTTTGGTCATTTCAGCTGTGTCCGACTCTTCATGACCCCATTCAGGGTTTCCTTGGCAAAGATCCTGGAGTGGCTTGCCATTTCCTTCTCCAGCTCATTTGACAGATGAGGAAACTGAGGCAAACAGGATTAAGATTAATCTAGGGCCACACTGCTAGAAAGTGTCTGAGGCGAGATTTGAACTCAGGTGCTGTTATTATCCCTATATTACAGGCGGGGAAGTTGAGGCAAACAAAGGTTTAAGTGACTTGCCCACGGTCACATAGCTCGTAAGTGTTTGAGGCTAGATTTGACCCCCTGACTTCAGGTCTAGAGCTTTATCCACTGTGACACTTAGCTGCTTACAGTTCCAGTCCCTGTCCCGATGTTACACACGAGGAAACTCCGGCCCAGAGAGGATGTTTCCTGCCTAGGGTCACACAGCTAGCAAATGTCCAACGTAGGGTTCAAAGCCCCAGTCTTTTTGGCTGCAAGTCCAACACTTTATCCACTGCAGTATATCATGATGCCTCTTAGATTTTCATCTCAGTTAGGATCTGGAGTGGAAACAGATGTCAAGAAAGAGTTGGAACTTGTAGGGACCTACCACCTCCACCAGCTAATCTGCTCCCTCTTTTTACAGAGAAGCGAGCGGGGGAGAGAGAAAGGAACCGCTGGCCCGAGGTCATCTCTCTGCCCTCCGGCCCAGCCTCTCCTCAGCCACCCTGGGCATCTGAGCGGCTTGCTCTTTTAAAAGACGTGTCGGACCTTCAAAGACTCCCACGGCCCACCCAAGGAGGCTCACTGTGTCTGGACGCCTGGTAAGAATCTTCCCTCTGGCAGAGTTCCTTGCATCCATTGAAAGGAAAACTTGTTTTATGTTTGTTTGTTTGATTAACCTGTTTGGATATCTTTTGAGCTTGCTCTTCCCACCTCCCCTTTTCCTTTTTGAGGCTGTAAAAGGTAGAATTTTGTTGTAACCTGCCCCATGAGAGACGTTGATTTCAGCTCATACATGCTGGGTCAAACCTGGAAAAATGAATCCATTTGAGCCAAGTGGAATGGGTCACAGCTTTGGTCTGGACTCTTTCCTCTCTAGGTCCTCATTTTTGCATGTTTGGAGATAAGCGGAAGGAAAATCCCACCCATAAGCCCTCTGGTGGCAGCTTCGGGAGGTTGGTGCATTCTATTTTTCTGTGCTGGTCCAGCACAGACGGGCCTTCCCTCCCCTCCTATCAGCTGGGTCTATTTCCCCTGGATGCCTCTAGCCAGTCGGAACTGGAGCACCCTCATCTAGGGGAGGCCACTCTACCACGCTTTGTTTTGCCCATTAGTGGTATCACCAGAATCTCAAAAATCAGGAAAGATCTTAGCGGCCATCTAGCCCAAACCCACTAAAATTTCCTAGGCAAGTGGTTTGAAGACCTCCATTGAAAAGGGAACTCATCGCCTCCCCCCCAAGCAGCCCCATTCCCATCTGGACAGCTCCTTGTTAGCAAGGCTCCCATAGCATTAAGAGTCCCGTGCATCATGGACACGGAGGTCACCTCGGGGAGTGGTGTTTTGTAGTGTTCTTTTCTCTCTAATGCCAGAGACTTTGAGATTTGCTTTTGGTTGAAAGTAGAGGACCAGAATGAAGGGGAAAGGAAGACCCCCTAGTTCTTCCTCCCTGAGTGGGGTGGTGGTGGTGGGCTTTTGTTTATTTTTTTGGTCAATCCACTAGGTGGCAATGTTTACTCATCCATCCTGTTTCAGCCTGTTTTCACTTGAAAACCTGAATTCAAAAGTAGCAGATGTTTTGTAGAGGGGTGGGGGTGGGTTGAATGTTGGGAAGGAGGAGAGGGGAAGGAAACTGAACTGTCAGGGCTAGGTACTTTTAAGCATCATTGGTCACTTGTAGTTTGGAGGTTTTGTGTTCTAGTTCTAAACTATTTCCCTGAAATAATTTTAAAGACTGATTTACAGAGGTTCCCAGAAATATAGGAGAAAGAGGCTCATTCCTTCCTCCTTATGGCCCCGCCTCCTCCTAAGCTTTCATCTTAACTCCAGCCTTCCTTTCTGAACAGAATAGGACTTGGATGCTTTAAGCATGGAAAAGGCAAAATGAGTGTGTGTGTATGTGTGTGTGTGTGTGTGTGTGTGTGTGTGCGCGCGCGCGTGCGTACGCGCAGAGTAGGTGCATTTTCCCCCTTGTTCACCCATGTTTTGATATCCTCAAAGGAGAGCCCAGATCATTGGGAAATGTGGTCTGAACAGATTCCATACCAAACTAGTTCAGGCTTAGCTTGGTTGAGTCTGATGTGTGATCAACCGCCCCCCCCCCCCCCCCCAACCTCCTTCTGCCCTGCCCCAGGACTCCTTTAGCATACTCAGAGAGTATGAGAAGAGACCTCTAGTCATTTCTACCCATTGCTCTGCAAACCCATCCAGATGCTGAATTCTCACGAGCTCACTCATTGGAAATGGTTGATGATTCAGTGGCATGTGTGTGACTCTTGTAGGGTAAAAAGTTCACAATCTGATCTTCCCCCTGTGCTTTTCTCAGGGTCAGGAGAGAGGAGAATCTAGTCTAACCAGCTCAAGCTGAAGGGTTAGAACATTAAGGATGATCTTAGCTGCATTTTCAAGTGCTGAGTCCAGCCACGAGGCTGGTCACCATTATTCTTGTAAATGTCTATGTTGATAGCTCATTCTTAGGCATCAGAAGCCTCTTATTGAATAAAATTTTAAATCAGCTGACTTAAATGAGCATCCTTGTTCTGCTTTATAGCTTAGGTTTAATACAAATACTTAAATGTACAAAGAGTCTGGATTCTCATGTTAGAGACTCCTGGCATGAAAACTCCCTGCACTACTAAAAATTCCATTCCATCTACTACTAAGTACATCATAGGTCTAGAGCTTGAGGGGCCTTCAGAGGTCATAGGATCATGGGATTATAGCTTGGAGCTGGAAGGGAGGTCATCCATTGAAACCTTCTTTTGGTGAGTAAAATGAGGGCCAGAGATATGAAATAACTTGTCCCAAGTCACAGAGGTAGTAAGTAACCAAGCTGGGATTTGAACCCAGGTCTTTTGGCTCTAAATCCATCAGTCTTTCCAGTGCAATAAATCTCAGAGCAGACCTTTCATGTGTCATAAATCCCTTTGGAAGTCTGGTAAAGTCTATAGACTTTTAAGAATAAGGCTTGTAAAAATTAAAAGAGAATAGTGAAAATAAAGATGCATTTTTTCCTATCCAAGTTCATAGACACTTTGAAATCTATTCATGTAGACCCCTTGGGGATCCATGAACTCTAACTTAGGACCCCTAGCTTAGGGAATTTGCTTGAGACATCAAGGATGATTGACTTGCTTAGGGTCACACAATAAATGAGTGGTGGAGGAGGGATTTGAACTCAGGTCTTTGTAACTCCAGGGTAGTTAGGTGACATAGTGGATAGAGCATCTGGCCTGGAGTCAGGAAGACCTGAGTTCAAATGTGACCTCAGATGCTTGTTAGCTGTGCGACTCTGAAAAAGTCACTTAATTCTGTTTGCCTCAGTTTCCTCATCCTCAAAGTGAAGTGTAGAAGGAAATGACGAACCATTCCAGTATCTTTGCCAAGAGAGCCCCAAACGGAGTCACAAAGAGTCAGACATGACTGAGCAGCAGCAACAATAATAACTTTGTACCTCTAAGCCTAATGCTCTGTCCTTTACTCTACCTTGCCTTTGAGTCTTGGGTTTCCAAATCCAACTGCTGTTCTCCAAACACACTTTGCAATTTAGCCCTTCCTGGGAGACTGAGCACCCTTGTCCCTGTTCCTCCACCATCAGGCATTCCTATATGTCCACACACCAGCATTTTGATTTTGCTCTGTCCCCATCTAAATTTAGTCCCCACTTGAGTAACTAACTGTTGGGAGGCTCCTTTGAGGCCCTCACAAGGGGGCCAGACCAACAGAGGAGGCTCTGTTTGCTCCAGGGCGGAGGGGACATTCTCTCCAAGTGGTCAGCCCATTGCTTTAGGCTCCTCTGCATACTCCGACTTCATCTCCGTCAAGTTAGACATCTGACAATCTTGAACAGAAGCACTGTTAAATACTCAGCATTCTTCTCAGAAACTGGCCGCCTCTCGAAGACTCTTTATTTGGAAATCCACACTGCAGAAATGGATAATTGTGTGAAAAGGTTTTGGGGGATGGACAAGATAATAGCAGTTTTATAAGAGTCTGAGAGCGAGGCCGAACCCTCCTGGGGTGTGTGTGTGTGTGTGTGTGTGTGTGTGTGTGTGTGTGTCCCAGCTCCTGGGTGTTGACCCCATGTTCTTTGTGCTTTTATGACTGGCTTCTTTGAATTTATTTGGTCCTGTGAGGAGGGTTATGAGAGTTGGGAGAGAGAGAAGGAAAAGGAGGAGAGAAAGAAAAGAGGGGGAAATGAGAAAGAGGAAAGGGAGGAAGAGGAGAGAGAGGGGAGAGAAGAGGAAGAAAAGAGAAAGGAAAGGAGTAAGAGAGAGAGAAGGGATGGGGAGAGGAGATGAAATAAAGTATAAGTTGAGGGAAAAGGAAGAAAGAGAGAAAGGAAGAGAAGAGAGGGAAGAGGATATGAAAAGGAGAAAAAAGGGAAATGAGAGAGATGGAGAGAAGAATAGAGAAAGGGATTGAAAGAGGAGAGAAGGAGAGAGGAAAGAGGTAAGAAGAGAGGAGAGAGAGGCAGAAAAAAGAAGAGGGAAGAAGAAGAGGGTGGAAAAAGTGAGGCAGTGGGACATCTAGGGCTTCCCTGGGACAGCTTGACTCTGGGAAGATACCTTGGATCTGACCTACTGGCCCCTTCTGTTCTAGTCCTGTCTGGAGTACTCTTCCAAGCTGTGAATACTGATTATCGTGAATGTGTCCAATTGTGTGGGGTTTTCTGTGAGCCAGACAAACATCCCTCCAGAGATGGGGCTAAGGCTGCCAAATGCATTTTGCCTGTGATACATTCCCAATGGCAAAGCCTGATTGCCTTTGAAGACATTTGACTTGGCCTGGAGGCTAAGGTGTTGGCATGGGTGTGGGTCTTCCTCCAGGGCTGTGATGGAGATGCTGCAACAGCCCTGGGCTGTTTGCTCTGGTGCTCTGAGAATGGATCAGGCCTTCTTCAGGGCATAAACACAGTGTTTTGGAGCACAAGATCTTTTTGGTTTTTCCATGGTAAATAGAGGGGATGGTGAGAAGGTCCCTGCTTTCTTCTCACTTGTGTATGCCATCCTGCACCCACAAATGCATGTCATCCTTTGGGAGGGGAAGCTGTGCTTTACTTTGATACTCTGATATATACCTCGAAGGACCGCATGGTATAGTGAGTGCAGAGATGGACCAGAGACCATTCAAACACTCAAAATCTGGGTCTGAACCATCTCATTCTAGTAGCTGAATGACCATGGGTGAATAATTTCATATCTCTGGGCCTCCATTTCCTCAGTAAAACCTATCATCTACCTTACAGTGAAGCTAGCTTTCTCTCTCCCCTCTCCCCTCCCCTTTCCCCTCTTCCTAATTTCCTCATCTCTGTCTGGGACCCCTCTCTCCTTCCAGTCACTCAGATGTTCAGCGTTTGAGTCATCCTCACCTTTTATCTCTCTCTCTCTCCCTAGACACCATGCTTTCCCCTCAATATTTTATCCTTTCTAGTTCTAGCATATCTCTGAATCTGTCCCCTTTTCTCCACCACCATGCCCACTGCCCTATTTATGTCTCCTATCACCCCTTGTCTAGATATTGGATTGGCTTCCTAAACAGAGCCTATCACCTTCCCAATCCATCCTCCTCCCACCTGGCAAATGGATATTCCTAAAGCCCA